CAAATATAATTGTACAAAGTTTTATTTAAATATTTTGACATCTTAAAAAAGTAAATCAGAGCTAAAAAAGTGCAAAAGTGCAGGCAAATTTGCCTGCGTTTTACTACAATCTAAGGGATATTAAGCTTATTACTTGTAGCTAGAATCCAACACTTGGCAAGTGCCTGATTATCTATAATGAATCTCTCGAGATCTTCTTGATAGCTCTTCCAATTATCTTTTGTTGCTTCATTATATAGATAAATCAATCTAGAGATTCCTCTTTTCCTCTCACTTGCCTTACTGCGAGTTCTGATTAGGTATTTAAGCGAGATATATAAAGTTGTTATTGTATGATCACTTGCTATTATAACATCTGCTTCATATATATTAGCCTCTCGGATGCTATATCAAAGATCTTTGGACACCCAAATTTGATCAATTCTTGTTTCAACTTCCTGCCTAGACCATGTGAACTTCTTAGTATCTGGATTAATTGTTCTAAATGTGTTGACAAAGCCCTGATTTTGAAACTATTTATAGAGCTATAATACTTTGAAACTTGCTGTATTCTCCAAACTAGATTTATCTAATTCTCTATTAACTATATGATTAAAATTACCTATTATAACAAAGTGCATCTTGTCTGTTCTCTCCATAAAACTTGTTATGAACTTTTGTTGAATCTTTTTAACTAAGTCTTTGTCATTTGGAGGGAGATAAACTACTAATATGACTACTACTACTTGTTTGAAGTAGAAATGTGCTTCTAATAAGTATTCCATAAACCTCGTAACTTGACCTAAATGTCTTTCCTATCTAGGACTCACTAATAGTCCTACCCCCGAACCTTTACGCTTTGAAATTTCACCTTGTAATCAAAAACCTCTTATACTAATCCCTTCTAAGCTAAATCTAAGATCTTTTTTACTTGCATTAGTTTCTACCAAACCTAAAAGTTCTATTTCTTCATTATTTGCCCACTCAGATATTGTCTTTAGTTTGATCTTGTTTCCTCTTATACTATTAATATTATGATATGCTACCTTTAACTGAACTTTACTTGCTACCTTATTATCTCTCGTATTAATATCCATGTTGTTATAGAAGGCTTCGTCTTGCCAGACTACAAATTTACTGTATGAGCCTTCTTTTTCATTAAGCATGCCCTTGGCACCCTTAGGAGTGATTGGAGCCACCGGCCCCCATATACCTTTTCTCAATTCTGTCAAGCCTTTCTAAAATTTTTTCGAAGACGCTTTTGTACCTGTGATCAAGATTCTCTGCTCTATTGATTTTTTCAACTACTTTACCTTTTGAATCTGAGGCAAAACATATAGCCTTAGGGTTTAAGTTCTCTTTATTGTGTACTACCTTGTTTCTAGAAATTCTTTGTTTAACCCAGCTACTTTTACTACCATAATGATGCTTGCTTTCTCTAACAGTATCGTTAGGTCTTTTCAGCCTTCTATCTGTACTTGACTTCTTGATCGAGACTGCTTTATCACGATCGTGTTTTCTTCTACTGCTTTGAACTCTTTTACGCTCACTAAAATACTTTGAACTTGCTAATCTTTTATTTTCTAATTCCATAACGGGATAGTTTCACTCTAACTTTGTATTAAAATAGTACAGTCTTGAACTCCGTGCTTTAATTAGATCTTTTTCTGTTTCAAAATACAATAGCGCTTTTCTACTCTAATTACTATTACTATTGCTCAGCATATAGACCGTGTGTACTTTGTGGTTTCTTAACTGTTAAAGCATAAGACTATCAAATGCTATGCTTGGTACATTGTAGATTGCACTTTTAAACTTGCTTCTGTCTTCTAACCTCATAATGTCAAATTTCCCAGGCATTACTCTGTACAATTTACCTTGATCTAAATGTATTGTCTAGCTTTTTCGTAAGGAATTTTCTCACTCTTTAATACTTATTTCAATACTAGTAAAGACTGCTTTGGTTCTAAAACTATATTGCTAGTCTAAAACTTTAGCACTCCTATAAAACTCAAGAAAATTTCTAATTTCATCTGCACTTATTCTCTTCGAAAGATTTCACAATGTGAAAAAATAGCATGTTTTATTTGTAAATTCTTGCATGTTAACTACCCTTTGGCACCCATGCTGAATTATAGATATCTTCATACTTCTTGGCCTTCTTATTCTCTTTTCATTGGTTGGTGTTATTTGCTTTATTAGCCAATTGCTTTTTTATTCCATAATCAATAATGCCAACTTCATTTTGAACTAATACAATTTTTTCTAGCTCAATTGCTAATTTATCAGTGTTATTTGTATTATCATGTTCTGACAAACTTCTTTTATGTGCAAAATCTTGATTACTCTTCTGCATCTTTTTACCATAATCGGTTGTCAAAACGACTGGCTTGTTATAGCTAAACTCCATAGTTGCAGATATCAACTTATTTTGTTCTTTTTCAACATGAGGCTTATTAGACTCTACATTTAGTCCTAGCAATATTCTTTCTTTATCTGAAATTATGTCTTGTCTGTTCTTTCTACTTTGTACCCATTCATATCATCAGCAAAAATATATATGCGTAAACTTTCGTAAGTTTTTACGGTGCGTAAGAAAATCGTAAACCTACGTAA